ATATGAAAGACTTAGGAGTTGCTGATGTGATCTTAGGAATCATAATTCACAAGACTCCACAAGGTCTAGCATTATCACAGTCTCACTACATTGAAAAGGTACGTCAAGTATTTGGATTTTAAAATTGCCAAGACTCTAATTGACATGAGTTATGCACTTCAAAAGAATGAAGGTGAAAGTGACTCACAACTTAATTATGCAAGAGTATTGGGAAGTTTGATGTATATCATGAATTGTACGCGACCAGATATAGCATGTGCTATTAGTAAACTGAGTCGGTTTATAAGTAATTCCAATCATATACATTGGATGGTAATGAAACGAGTTTTGGGGTATCTCAAACATACCCAAAATTATGCTTTGCATTATAACAAATATCCCTCCGTGATCGAGGGATATAGCGATGCAAATTGAATCACTGGATCATTTGAAGTTAAATCCACGAGTGGATATGTTTTANGTTTTCACAATTGGGGGTGGAGCAGTGTCTTGAAAATCATCCAAACAAACATGCATCGCCCGTTCTACAATGGAATATGAATTCATAGCCTTAGATAAGGTCGGTGAAGAAGCTGAATGGCTCCGGAATTTCTTGGAAGATATTCCATTTTGGCCCAAACCCTTGGCACCTATTTGTATACATTGTGATAGTCAAGCGGCAATAGGCAGGGCAGGGAGCGTTATGTATAACGGAAAATCTCGTCATATACGACGGAGACACAATACCGTTAGACAACTACTCTCTAGTGGTGTTATCACAATTGACTACATAAAGTCAAGAGATAACGTGTCGGATCCACTTACAAAAGGCCTATCTAGAGAGGCAGTTGAAAGATCATCAAAGGGAATGGGGTTAAGGTCTAGGATAAGTCATCATGGCGGTAACTCTACCTAGCAGACTGGAGATCCCACGAGCTAGGTTCAAAGAGATCAAACAAAGTTATGAATGATGGTTCAACATTGTCAAATAACTCAACCCATTCTCGTGATGAAGACAGTGTTCAGAAATCGAGGTAAAACATTAAGGCTTTTTGATGAGTCAACAAAGCTTAAAGGTTTTTTAATGATTTACTAAGTCTGGCAGGATATGATCAGATAGTGTGTCTATAGGATTACACGTTTATAAATTACCTATGTGAGCGTGAAGTGTAAGCCGCTTCAAGGGGAATAAAAGTAAAGGCCCATTCTCCAAGCACTCATGAAACCGGGCGGTGTTCATGGCTAAAATGAACACAACCATGAGAACCATAGATGGTTAAGGATTGATTGTGTGACTTATGTTGTCTAGGTATACAACAAAGCTCGACGGTTCAAAGATATCAAATCTACCGATTGACCGAGTATATCCGATATAAGTTCACTGCGAAAAGTTCAAAGGAAAACCTACTTATCCAGATGCAATTAATTCTTGCATGTAAAACATACACGCGTCCGTGCATTCCTTTATTTTTTAGCCATTCCCCATTCATGTGGGGGATTGTTAGGATTTTAAGCTTGTGTAGCTTAAAGAGGGTGAATGAGAAATGGAGGAAAAAATAAAATATTTGAGTTTCCCTCCTTGGCAAAGGGACATTGTCCCATATTGGAGGAAGAAAAGGCTTTTGATGGGTATATATATAATTGCTCTTCTTCTAGCTCTTAAAGAGTTAAGAAGAAGGCAAGTCTCGCACCGTCGTCATCGTCGTTCGCTCGGCTCGGATTCGGTCAAAGATCGATTGATTGATTAATCTTTTTGGACAAAATTCCTTTCAATTATTTCTGTTTCTGAAAAATCTAGTGTGTTTTACAGCCCTCGAGTTGCTCGCTGTTCACCGGCGTTTGGTACCAACACTCCGGTAAGTTAAATCGTTCTATCCTGGGAGGATATATTCCAGCACCTCGGGGTACTTGAGGGGAATAATTTTCTTAAGGACACACTGTGTATTCAGTGGGCTCGATTTATTCCTATACTGTTTTTCCAGAATTTATTTCATTAAACTAGTATTACTAACTTTCTGTTTTGTTTATATATTTCAGAAAGTTTAATTGTTTATTACAGCAATACAGATTTATAAGAGGTTACCCTAATGCAAATATCAGTGATTGATTCTATAACTCGAACCCGTGACCTATAGGTCACACGTAGACAACTTTACCCTAATACAAGCATCAGTGGCTAATCCAAAATTGTCAGTAAATGACAAAATTAAACTGAAAATTTTGTCCATAAACACTTATAAACACTATCATAAACAGTTATCCGTCCATAATTATCCAGCAAACAGAATAATACGCCATTAAAGCTAATGACGATGATATCATATCCCAAGAATTATATTATTATCAGTCCACACATTAGTCTCAGAAGAAAAAATTTCGACCGTTATACTTGAAAGTAACTCAATCCAAGGTGCTACACAGCGAACTATAGTAAAGGAGATGACATTGTCATCTACTTTACAAGCAAATCCAATATATGGATCTTTTATTCTGATTCGAGTTCTAGGGATATCAAAACGCTGCCTCGTGGCAGGATTATAAACATAACAAATCCTCTGTCTGCTTCTACGCTTATCGCAAAGAAGAAAACCATTGGAAGATGCAACAATATTAACTCTCTCGCCAATAAAATGGACTGACTCATCTAAACTGTTACCAAGTAATAATGGCGATACCTGATACGAGAAGAAGAAACGATTTTTTTGATTTTGTAAACGAGTACGGGTATCCACAAAAAAGAAACCAATTAAGTAAGGTAGACACCAGCATTTTTTAGAACGGTAAACTTCAGCAATGCACTTTCGCCAATTCTTAGATACACATGTAAACCTAGCAAGCAATTTTAAAGGCAAACGATTCAATATGTTGATTATGATTTCCTCACAAACAAACGAATTGTTTACACGTTTCATTCTAATACTTGCAAACTAAAATTATCTCGAATAGTATAAGATAATCACAAACCTCAACTCATAGCTTTCCTAATTAAATAACAACAATATCAGTGTAATCCCACAAGTCGGATCTTAGAAGGGCAGTATGTACTCATACCTTACCATTATCTCGCGAAGGTAAAAAAGTTATTTTCGAAACACCCTCTCCTCTTACCTCCTTAAACTCCTTGTTAAATGGAGTGCTGTCTTTTCTCTCAGTAGGGTTTTAAAAGTGAAAACCCTAAAAGTTAAAAGTTGGATTATTAAAATCTTTTTAAATAATTTAAATACACTATTCATTACTTTTAAGAAGAAAAAAAAAATATTAAAAACTGCCACATTGACTCATTGAGTGACAATGGTTAGCAAACGGGAATCAACCAATAGGCTATCATCAACGCGTTACAATATAATAACTCGTGGTTTATTTTCCATCACTTACAATAAAATCGTATATCAACCAATAGGCTGAATATCACAGAATTTAAGCCATTGAGAATGGCAGAAGCAGTGAGTTTATTTGCTGCTTCTGTGGTATGTATTCCATCCCAGCTTACGTAATTGTACGGATCATCACAAGCTGTGGCTGTCAATTTTTGTCTGTTGCCACAAAACACTTGAGGGTTAAAGTTGTTAGCACCACCTCCATGTCCACAACATGCTTTGTTTCCATATTTTAACCCTACAAAGACAAACATCATTATGGTAATCTTGAGTTATATTGGATAACATCCAATTGGTGCAAGGTTAAGTACCATAAATGTTCTTCCCCCTAATCCATAAATTTCCTGGTGAAAAATCCATTAAATCAACATCATAAGCTTTTCACACTAATAAGCTATACACTAAAAAAAATAGCTAATTATGCTTCAAAATTTAGGACCCTGAAGACCATATCTTGATCGCCGAGGGTCTATCGGAAACAATATCTCTACATTCGAAGACTGTTTGTTCTCTACTCAGCCCTCAGATCTCACTTGTGAGATTTTACTGGGTATGTTGTTGAAGACCATATCTTGATGATAGTTCTAAAATTATATAAACTGATAGTGTAAATTTTGGTTTCACAATCTATAAAGCAAGGATTAGGCATCTCTTAACAACTAGGAGGCCTATTTATCTTTTTTGTCAATTTTTTGCCTTTTTTTTTTTTTTGCAATGAAATTGACTTTCATAATTGAATTTAGATGCAAATAGAATTTTTGATGAAGATTTGGAGTCACGTACATGGGGTGTACGTGATTTCTTGGAAGATCACTGTTGATGGCCTTGAGAAAAGGAGTGTATATGTTTTCATTTCGGGTGACTGATTAGGGTTTTATTTTTCTTTCAAAGAAAATTTTAAGACGCGGAAATTCTTTGGTGCATAGTTGTGATTTTGGCGTACTCCGTCCCTTTCATCGTTTCATCAATATTTGCTTTTTAATTTCATCAATAGTTGAGGTGCACCCATCCCACTTTCTTCTTAGATTTTTTCTCCTCTGTTATTTTTCCTCATTTTTTTCTTATCTTATTTTAAATTTTCAAAAGTCTAAAAGAGTATAGTTAGTAATAAAAATTATTACAATGATTATTGATCTTATGACCAACATTTAAATAGCAATAGAAGGAGAGAAGACTTATGTAAGATTAAAAGTCTCTAATTATGATAAGAATTAATGACCTATACACATAGTCACTAATAAATACCCCTTCCGGTCCACAATAAGTGATTTTTTGACTCATTTTTTGTGGTCTAAAATATTTGATTTTTCCAGATTTTAAGAATTAATTAATTATTTTTTTCCTACATTGCCCTTGGAGTAAATAATGTTGGAGTATGTGTTAGGAGGGTTTTTATGTGAAGAAATAGCAAAAGTTAATATGGTCAATTTCATTACTAATTAATGTTAAAAGGTGAATTTTTTAATCTGTGTGAAAACAACCAAAAAATCACTTATTATGGATTGAAGGGAGTATGTATTATTACTTGCTTACTATTTCTTAATATCTTTTAAATAGGGAGAAGTCAAGAGGATTCTTTTATGAGTAATAACTTCTCTTCTCTAAGGTATGTGATATTNTATAGAGTTATTTTTTATTTTAAAAATTAATTTCTGCGATATCAACAAAATATGTTAAAAGGGGCATTATCACTTCTAGCCCGCGCCAGAAATTATTTACATTCGGTAGCCGAAAAAGTATATAAAATTTGTATAATTTCTATATATAAATTACAGAATATATATATATATATATATATATATATATAATAGATATTTTTTCAACTATTATTTTGAATGCGACTATATAATATCATTTTTCCTTTAAAAAATAAGCCTCACCGCGCGAAACGCGGCCTATTTAACTAGTTATTATATATTAACATGTTATAGCAGGTAATTACTATTTTTACAAGATTTCCAATTAATGCTTAACTATCATATAGAGTTACCCGTAATTACTTTACAAGTGACCGTAAATATTATTTACAATGTCAATATACAAAACTTAAACTCTTGATTATATTACCTTGATGGTGCTAGTAATTTGGGAAACTACTTTGGGTAAGTATTGCTTCACTCCACTTATTCCTATTCTTGCCAAATCATCAGTGAAATCATTCTGACCTATGTTGAATGTATAAAGTGACTTCCCAAATATGTTCGGGGAAGGCAGATTACTATTCCCTGGAAACCATAAGATAGATAGATCATGAGTAACATCAAAAGTATATTACGATGTTCAATAACAATATACCTAGTATAATCTCACAAGTAGGATCTGGCAAAGATAGTGTGGGCGCAGACCTTACCGCTGCCTTGTGCGGGTAAAAAGGCTATTTCCGATAAGATATTTATAAAGTGAAATTTATACTTTACCTTTACTTTGAAGTTCATCGACTTTAACCTTAAATTCTTTCATTTGTCGAAGCTGAATTTCAAGAGAAAATGGGCTAACTCCAGATACAAATAATGAAGATTGTGGCAAGAGCACTGTAGATGATATTGTTGCAAAGTTGACACCATGTCTGTAATCTGATCCAATTGATTGCAAATATGGACTTACAAATGGCAAACCTAATGCTTGAGCTGCATATCAAAGAACACTAAAAGTTTCAGTAATCTTTATAGAATTTGGACCAGAACACTTTCTATAACAACTAGCTCCCGCTATGCGCGGGGTCCAGGGAAGGGCATTACAAGGGTCTGCACGCAGCCTTACCCTGCATTTCTGCAAGTGGTTGTTTCCATGGCGCGAATCCGTGACCTCCTGGTCACATGACAGTAACTTTACTAGTTACGCCAATACTACTCTTAAAAAAAAGGTATATTAACTATATAAAAAATAAGACAAGGCGAAGCACCGGATCTAGATCAAGATCTCCATTACGTCGTACGATATATCGATCCGGAGAACTTACTTTCAGTTTAAGTCATCGATTCTGCTCCTATCTAAAGTGATGCTAGGCATAAAAGAAACCAAAGAAAGGTCCGCGACAAAGCTGTCCCCTCTCTCCATATCTCTATTTACTGGCTGGGTGCAGATAACACTGTAATAATAACAAAGCCAGATAGAGATACTGTTTGTTCAGAATTGATTCAGATGTCGAGGACCCACGGAAAAATCCACCTTATTCATGCTCCGAACAGCAACTTTCCCCTACCTACTATATGTTAAAACTTGTAATTTTATTTTTTTTTACAATGTGGTTTGTGCGTATTAAGTTAAATTAATCCATTAGTCAAAGAAAATAGAACTTCTAAACTTACACTTGACGTTCAGACATTATCACATTAAAAGACGTCGATACTACTAGTTGCATTTTCTGGTATCTACTCTATTGCATAAACAACCGTTCTTCCTACAGTAAGCAATCAAATCTCTAAAGCTAAATGATGGGGAAAAAATGACTTGTTAATCTGCTTTTTGCAAGAAAATGAATGGAGATGAAAAATACCAAAAAAATCAATTATGACTCTGCCATCACTTGACCGTCCGACTGGTTTTTTGAAATAAGTCATTCCATAAGGAGAACTCTGAGATGGGAAAGCTGCATAAAATCCACCTGTATCAGTATTTAAGTCTCCAAAATTAAAAATAGCCTCAAATGCACATTTGTTTTCTACCAAATTAGTAGTAGTTGCTATTAAAAGAAACCAGACCACCATTATTGAAGACCATAAGCTCAGTCTTAATAATGGCCTCATTTTACTGTTGTTTTTCTCTCAACACACTAAAGTATAGCTCAATGTCGGCTGAAGGTTAACAACTTGTTTGGATGGTTGTTACCCATTATATTGTATTGTATTGTATTGTATTGTATTGTTATCACAAAACAATGTTTGTTTTGATTGTTTAGTTAAAATTGATTGTATTGTATTGTTAAATTTATTGTTCCGTAACAATGAAAAGTTCAATTTTTTGAAATAACCGATTTGGTGTGGTGGGATTGTTTCCTATTTTTCTTTCCAGTTATGCCCTAACTTATTACTGCATAATTATTTTTAACTCCAAATCTCAACCTATAACCTACTTCGTCTTCGTCTTTTTTTTTTCGGAACTGGTTCTGGCGTTGCCAACTCCACAATCAAAGATAACAAGAATAAGTTTCGCCCTTTCTTTGTTCCCTTCTTTGTTTCTTTGTTCCTTTCTGCTCTTTTTTTTNTGATTGATTTTTTTGAATGAAAATGTTTGAAGCTTATCCTAAATTCCAAATTAGCATTGAAATCTGAGATAACCTCCAGATCCAATTTTTCTTCCTAGATAAGATCCAGATTTTTATGCACACAGTGCAATCGAGTGTGAACAACTCTAGGAAATGAAGAATTTCGAAGAACAGTTAGGCTAGATCAGGGTATCAACCGAGATGTTAGCTAAGAGAAGAACAGTTAGAGGAGAAGAAGAGTGTAATTTTCATGAATGAGATCCAAATGTGTATAATGAGATCTATATATCTAGCTAGATTTGATGCCTTCTCTTTCCCGTCTATGTAAATAACTTTCTAACAGCAACTACCTTCCTAACTGCTTCTAACTAATTTTCGGAATCTTCCAACTAATTGGCACATCACCTTTTGAAGCTAATTATATTCATTACTACTAAACATTGCAACAATACCCCATACAGAAGCACAGTCTTGTCCTCAAGACTAGAAGGAAGGAAATCGATGTTGCAGCTCAGAGACATATTCCCAAGTAGCTTGATAGACATCAATGCCTGTCCATTTGACCAGCACTTGTACCACAACTTTATTGCCTCTCTTCACCATCCTCCTAGCTAACACTTGTTCATGTAATGGACAGTAAGGACTAGAGAGATGAAATACATGAGGGTGATTGATGTTGGTAGGAACTTCATGGCATTTCTTCAATTGAGAGACATGGAAAGTAGGATGAATCAGAACATCAGCAGGAATGAGCAGCTTGTAGGCAATGGTTTCAATCTTAGAAATAATAGGATAAGGGCCATAGTACTTGACATCAAGCTTGTTAAATGGTCTAGTAGCGACAAACACCTGCCTATAGGGTTGTAACTTAAGATAAACCTAGTCCCCCACTTCAAAGTTCCTATCAGATCTATGTTTGTCAGCTAGATCCCGTATTCTCTACTGTGCTCTTAATAGATGGAACTTCAGAAGATGGATGATTGCCTCCCTAGCAGCCAAAGATCTATCAACCATTTCTAAAACAACTTCACCAGCTAGATAGAGAAGATGAAGAGGTGGTTTCTGGCCATATAAAATCTCATAAGGACTGCATTTGATAGCAGTATGGTAGGTAGTATTATACCACCATTCAGCTAATGGTAGATACTTAGGCCAGTCCTAAGGGCTGTCAGAACAAAAACATCTTAGATAGGTCTCTAAAATTCCTTTCAAAACTTTAGTTTGGCCATCAGTTTGAGGGTGATATGATATTGATCTCTACAGCTGAACACCTTGCATAGCAAGCAGTTCTTGCTAAACGTTGCTGAGAAAGATTGGATCTCTATCACTGGTTATGGTAGTAGGCCACCCATGTAGTTTAAAAACATTGTCCAAGAAGGACCGAGCCAATGTCTGGGAAGTATATGGATGTTGTAGGCTCATAAAATGACCATACTTGCTAAGTCTATCAACAACAACCAAAATGACATCCTTACCATGGGACCTAGGCAATCCTTTAATGAAATCTAAACAGATGTCAGTCCATACCCCATCAGGAACAGGTAGTGGTTCCAGTAGGCCAGGAGAGGCAGCAACATCATACTGATGTCTTTGGCACACATCATATTTGTTGATGAAGTCTCTGATATCTGTAGCCATTAACTTCCAATAGAATAGGGATTGCAACCCTTTTAAAGTAGAATCCATTCCAGAATGCCCAATTGTGTGGTTGAATGCCACAATCTAATAATAAGTGTTCTGAGTTATTGATCAGCACCAACCACCAGTCTACCCTTCCATCTCAGCTGGTTATTACACCAAGTAAATGAGTAAAAAGGTTGAGTTTGTAATTTGGCAATCAACTCTTGCAAATAAGTATCATAAGTCCAAGTAGCTTTGATTTGATCGTACAGGGAGTCATTTGGAGATAGTAAAGAAATAGCTAATAGTTCAGAGTCAGGTTTCCTGGACAATACATCAAAAACCTTATTCTCAACTCATTTTATATACTTAATAGAGAAATCAAAGGTCATAAGCTTGGAAATGCCAGCTATTTGAAATTCAGTGTGGATTTGTTGTTCCAGCAAATGCTTCAATACTTATTGATCTGTCCTGACAATGAATGGCCTCCCCAAGAGGTAGTGTGACCATTTAGTAACAACAAATATGAGAGCTAATAGCTCCCTGTCACAGACAGACATGACCTGATGTCTGGGTGCTAGAGATCTACTGATATAAGCTATTGGATACCCTTGATGCATCAACACAACACATATGCCCTTATCACTTGCATCAGTCTCAACCAAGAAAGGTTTTGAAAAATCTGGCATTGCCAGTACATGAGCAGAAATCAAGGCTATATTGTGAGTGTCACCCATCCTCAGCTGATGATAGCCTTCCCTGAGATTAATTTTAGAGAATACCACTGCACCACCTAATTCATCCAGTAGGTCCGCTATAATAGGTATAGGGAATTTATCTTTAATGGTCATTTGATTCAACTCTCTATAGTCAATACACAATCTCCAGCTCCCATTTTTTTTTTCCTACCAACAGAACTGGTGAAGCATAGGGGCTAGTACTATGTTATATAACCCCTTGGTCTAACATCTCTTTTACCAACTTTTCTATGATGTCCTTTTTAATTCCAGGATATCTATAAGGCCTTTTGTTGATTGGATTTGCTCCTTCAACTAATGGAATTCTATGATCAAAAGCACCTCTATGAGGTGGCAAGGTACTAGGCACAGGAAATATGCTAGCATATTGGTCAATTAAGCTATCTAGTTTAGGAGCAATGGAATCACCTTGTGTAGCTTGAATATTATGGCAGTAAATCCTTTCATCTTCATTAGTGGCAATAGTTAACATAAAAACTGAGTATTGTCCCCCTCAATCTTATTAATCGTTGATGCCTTAGTTGCTTTCAACTGATTAGTTGCTCCCCATAGAATATGCTTTTTGCCCTGATACATGAACTCAATAGTTTTATTCCTGAAGTCAAACAGTGTCCTACCCAAAGTATTCAACCATTGAACAACCAAGACAATATCCACATTACCCCAAAGGCAACAATAATAAGCTAGAACTTAATGTAGTACCTTGCAGAAGCCATTGGAGATTCTTGCAAACTGAAGTTGTCAGCACTTTCCTTCCATCAGCTACACTGACAGATTGAGCCATAATACTATTGGCCTTGCATCCTAGCTTCTTGGCCATATCTTGATCAATAAAATTATAGGTGCTTCATGTATCAATAAGGACCTGTAGAGGCCTTTTCTTATGGTAACTAGTTACCCTGATGGTCTGATAACCTATTACACCAGTGAAAGCCTGCAGTAATATTGTCATAAGTTCATCCAATTCTTCCACAACTTTTTGCAATGAATCCTCTATGGTTTCATTTACACCTATATCTCCATCCATAACCTCTACCATATAAATCTGTCTATTGGAATTGCATTTATACCCTACAATATACTTCTTATCACAAAAGAAACAAAGACCCTTGGCTCTTTTTTTTCATCCATTTCTGCCGCAGTCAACCTTCTTCCTGGATCTTATTAGGCCTAACTTGCTGTGATTATTTGGTTTCCTGAATGTAGGTTGGGAAGTATTTAATTTATGTAAATTATGAGATTTATAGTGGTTTGGAGTGGGTAACAGACCATTCTAAGAGGGTCTATATATAGGTTTCAATCCCCATGTTTTGGCTTGAGCTTCAAATACCTCTTCTTGTAGCCTTGAAATCTTATAGGCTTGCATTAATGTCCTCGGAAATTTCACTTTTACTGCCTTATTGAGTTCAGGTTTCAATTCTCCAAGAAAATAACTGATAGTGTTCTCATTAGAGAGGTTCACACGAGTTAGCAATCTATCAAATTCAGCTTGATACTCCTTCACACTACCAGTCTGCACCAGATTTTTGCGAGACTCCATATTATCTTCAAATTCTTCCCCAAACCTTTCATTCAAAGCTATTACATACTCAGTCCAAGTAGGGTCAATTACTGAGTTTTTAGCCTTGATGTAAGCTCTATGCCAAGCAATTGCCTCACTTTCTAAATGAATTGAAATTACCTCGACTCTTTAATCAAAAGGAACTTCGTCCATAGCAAAAAATTGATCCACCTTATACAACCATGTTTTCAAATTATGTCCAGAAAATTTAGGAAATTTCAACCTAGAGTACCTAGTGAAGAAACTACCAGTAGTTTGTTGATTAACATGATTGTCTTTGGCTTTCCTTTTAGGTTCGACATCAGCAGAGCAATCTCTGTTATCTGTTGAAGATCCAGCCCTAAAGATTTCAGTTCCATTTCCCTTCTTGCTGAAGTTATTGATGGTAGCTCGCATCTCCATCAATTCCTTATCAGCCACTAGATTTCGTTCATTCATATTAGTCATCCCTTCCATAAGGTTTTGCAATTGCAATTGAATCTGAACAAGTTTTCCCCCATATATTCAGACTGTTGGTCTTGACTTCTGTTTCTGGTCACAATCTCATTGTTTTTAGTCATGATTTAGTGCCAAGGATCGAGCAACTCTGATACCA